ACACACACACACACACATATATATATACACACAAACACACATGTATCCTATTATATCTACCTCCTTTTGGCTCTGTTTCTCTGGAATATCCTGAGTAATACACCATTGTAGACTGAATTCTAGATGGAGAAATGGTCTAACCAGAGTGACATCTACTATGTTCCCATGCTGTATGTATATTCAATCTCACTGATGTCTCCCTTGCCTGCTATCAGGGATTCTTGGAGTTCTCAATTGGCAAAAGTTGATGAAGAAAATCAAAACGGTAATTATTCTACAAATAGCTTTTGAAACAAAACTTCTTAGCACCTTTCGTCAGTGATCTGGAATTGGGCAATTTACTTAATTATGATTCATCAAGAAACTTACTTCTGTTTAAAAAAAACAAATTGTTGGGTGCCTGGGTGGCTCAGTTGGTTAAGCGTCTGCCTTCGGCTCAGGTCATAATCCCAGGGTCCTGGGATCGAGTCCTGCATCAGGCTCCCTGCTCAGGGGAGAGTCTGTTTCTCCCTCTACCCCTCAACCCGCCTTGTGCATGCTCTTTCTCTCTCTCTCTCACACAAAAATAAAATCTTTAAAAAATAATTTCAAAAAATTTAAAAAATAAAAAAATAAATCATTTATCATCCAATATCATTTATCATCTTTTTAAAAAAGGTCATTTTCAAAACATTCAGAAACATATAAAGAAGAAATGAAAATCCTAATAGAAAATGGGCAAAGGTTATAAATAAGAAATTCACAGAAAAAAGATGGAAAGAGCTCGCTAAAAACATAAAGATGCATAAACTCACTCATAATTATGTAAATACAAATCAAAACACAAAAAGACACCAGCTTGAACCTATCACACTGGCAAAAATTAAAAATTTCCATAATATCAACATGTATAGAAAGAGATACTGTTTTTTTAAAAAAAATTTTTTAAAGATTTATTTATTTATTTTAGAGAGAGAGAGAAAGAACACAAGTGGGAGGGGCGGAGGGAGAGGGAGAAGCAGACTCCCCACTGAGCTCAGAGCCCAACTTGGGGCTCCATCTCACCACCCTGAGATCATGACCTGAGCCAAAACCAAGAGTCTGATGCTTAACCGACTGAGCCACTCAGGCGCCTCCTCATTCACTGTTGATGAGATATTCTTTAAGAGGAATAGATGGCACCACCTAGTTTAATTAAAAATTCACAATAGCATTTGACACAGCTACTGTCCTGTTAGAAATTGGTCCTACAGATATGCTTACAGAAGCGTGTCAGGATTAGATAGTGCAGCCATATTGGTATTAGCTAAAACCAAAACAACCCCTTACCCCCACCAACAACCTAAATATTTTCCAGAAAGCTAATGCTTACATATACAATGTATGTTTATTTATAAATAACGTAATACTGAACAGGCACTGAAAAGAACGAAGCATACTGAATTTGTTGTTATGAAAATAGACCTAAGATTTGACTCAATCTATGATGATGTATTAGGCTTCTCAAGAGAAACAGAATGAATAGGAGGTAGACAGATAGAAAATGGAGAGGGGAGGACTGATTTATTATAAACAGATCAAACAAGGTGTCAGTTTATGAAAAATAATCCCATTTGTATACTTAAAAAGAATGAATATACACATACATGAATAAATAAATAGAGGCAGTCGTGTAAATCAATAGACCCACAAACTTTTTTCTAGAAGCATACACTGAAAACTATTATTAGGGATTACTTTAGGAAAAGAAAATTAGCTATTGAGTGGTGAAGAGAACATCTATTTTATAACTTTCTTTATAGTATTAATATTTAATTATGTATACAACTTTTATCTTTAAGTGCCAATTTTAAAAGAAAGCAGAGAAAATCCTATCCCCACCTGATTCTTTCAAGTAATGCTTAATAATTGAAGAAACTCCTTGAGGTGCCACAAAGTTACAGTCTCCTTCTTTCATCACCATCCCTTCAATAGGAGAGGTCAGAGGCTTCAAAATGCCAAGAGCTAACAGGTCATCATAAAAACTGAAATAAATCAATATATATGATATAATTATATACCGCAGTTAGCTTAAAAACACTGTATTCTCTTCCAAGAATTCTTAGAGATTATCATTCTAAATAACTAGAAATCTTCATATGATCAACTCAATGTATGTTTCGTGTTAATAAAACATAATTCAGTAGAGCATGCGACTCTTGATCTCGGGGTCCTGAGTTCAAGCCCCAGGTGGGGCCTAGAGCGTACTTCAAAAAAATTAATAAACCATAATTAAGGTGAAGAACAGAAACCTTTTGAGAATCCATAAATCTTCTGCTGACATTAGCTGAAGGCGTATTTTCTTGTATCTCTCAAAATTAAAGGTCAGTGAAGATAGAAAGGTATGCAGTCCCCCCATTTTGAATTTGGTGAAGATTGACTAGTTGTCCTCTTCCTCAACACAACACAGTAATTCATATTTAAATTAAGCCCTCAGGATGTAGCATCTCATGTGATCTTCAGAACCACACCAGGCAGTAGGACTCGCTACCTCTTACTCATCAACAATGATATTATTTATATCTTCACTATATTACAAGAAGCAAAGTGTCATCCTGTTAAAACTGGATGATTTCTACCTTTTTACATCCTACAGTCACGAAGAATGATTCCGCCCCTTTCAACTAACTCACCTTTGGTGTTGTTTGGCATAATGAGGTGTGCAGGTGATGTACTGGGCACCCAAGTCAACTGTGCTCTGTGGATTGTAGGGACTCCTGGCTGTAGTCATTCTTCCCCCTTGGATTCATTCACAAGAAACATCTTAGTGCATCAGAATGAAACCTTCTGCAATTCACGCCTCAATTATTCACCTCAGGTTAGGCCAAATGGATTACGGCTGTATTTTTTAAAAAAGGACTTTGTTGTGCTTTTCTGGTTTAGTTTTGGGCTTTGTCCTCTACCACTGCCAGGAAGTAGTTCACAGAGACAATTTGGTCACTGTGACGTATTTTTAAAGAGGACACATGAAGAGTGCAGCAGTGTTCAGCGCTGTGCCTGGCCTCTGGATTCACACATGTAAACAAAAGGAATGGGTGCATGGATAACATAAAACGAAATAATGCCAAGAAATGTCAGAATGAATCACTCTTGCAATCGGGTTTCCTGAGAAAAAGAGGAGTCTGTAAACTAGATCTTCGTCCTGGTCAAAGGGCACTTTGGGATCCTCCCGATGCGCAGAAGGCAGTGAAGGCATGGCCAGGCCAAGATCAAAGCCCGCTGACCAGCGGTGGTGGCGGGAGGCCCAAGCTGGACAAACTGCCAGAGCTCTTCGCCAGCGCGGAGCGGCCCTGGGGGGGGAGGGGGGCGCTCCTCCCGCTCCTCCTCCCTGACCCGGCGCGGGGCTCCTCCCGCTCCCCGCCCCCCCACCCCCACTCCTCCTGCCCAGGGCTCCTCCTGCTCCCCCGGAACTTCATCCGAGCTCCCTCTCCTCCTGCCCTCCTCCTCCTACCCAGGGCTCCTCAATCCTCCCTAAC